CCAATTTTCACGTGGAATAGCGTTCAAATACGTGAACGCATTCTCATTCGTAGCACGAATTTGAGCCATTGTTTGGTAAAATTCACTCACCATGGGTGTACTCCCGGCCTGCCAACAGAGCTTTTTCAGTTCAGTGCTCCTGAATTTTGTCATGAAATTGCTTCTAATGTGTCGGAGGCAGAACCGCTTTGAAACTTGGGAGGTTTTCAATTGAGGTACTGATTGATAGGCACTTAGGATGCCAGGGTGTCGATCTGATATTATGCACACATGCCGATTTGGTCTGACAACATAAGTCATAATGTGTTCCAAAAACCAGGACCAACTATTTGTGTTTTCACTTTCCACAACTGCGTACGCGAGAGGGAAAATCTCACGGTTAGCATTCATGGCGACTGCAACCAAGAGATGACCCTTGAACTTTCCGTACAAGTGAGTACCGTCAACAGATATTACGGGCAGACAGTGTTCAAACCCATCAATGGAAGCTTTAAAAGCCCAAAACGCACGATGAAATTCATACGTACCATCATGACTGGTTGGTTTTGGTTGGAAATCTACCACTGACCCCGAATTTGATTCTCTTATCGCAAGCAACAAATTGGGTAAATCATTGTAGGCCGCCTCCCAGTTCCCGAATCTTCGTTCAAGGGCAATCAAACGTCCATACCACGCCTTTTTGTACTTGACATTGATTCTGAATTTGTCGTATATGTCTTGCATCACGAGTTTAATGTTGTAGTCCGGATCAACATGCACTTTTGTAGCGATTACACTCGCTATGATCTTGCTCGTCATAAGCCTGTCATTACGGGCTCTTTTATAATCCACTCTGCAGTTGTGTAGTGGTTGATAATTTTTCACCTTCCACAAATTGGTGTTGAGAAGGTTTCCCGCCTGAATGTGCCACATACACATGTCATCATAGATGCAAACTGCCTTCCACGATCTCACACGTTTGTCTTCTGTCTTAAAAATTCGAGATTGCCGAATATTTTCTATTGCTACGGCTTCTTTCAGTAAGTCGTATGAATCGTATATTTTGCCGACCGCAATAGTTTCATTATCACGATTCGCTGGTTCAACATATGGTTGTTCCAGCTCAATATCGGCCCATGTTGTGTCATGAGCGTCATCACTATCGTCAGAATTTGTTGTTGCATCGTCATTTCCAGAAAATTGTTCATAATCTGGATCATCTTCCTCTTCCTCTTCTGTTGAAGGGCCATCTTCATGTTCAACAGTATGCGGGTTGTAGCGTCCGCCGTATCTCGTTGATGGTCCGTCATCGTTGGAGTGGATATTGTGAAAGGTTTCACAATTGTGGGTGTCACCTCCTCCATATGTTGATATTTGTGGTTGGACTATAGAGGTTCTTCGGGCATCCAGGAAAATATGTAATTCTCCATACTCTCTTTCAGCAAGTCAGAAAAAGTGCTTCCAAGTATCATCATCATGGATGGGCCACAGTCTTGATGCCACATACACACGATTTTTGTACTTTGGTAATTTTCCGTGAATGGATACAATTTCTCCAAAACCTCTCTGCGCACACTCTTCGACAATCCGCTCGTTTATAGCGTTAAAGCCATCGTCATTGCTGATTAACAGCGCTGCGCTCGGAGGAATGGAATACTCTACTTCATCATCTTTCATAATAATAGAACCATTCCAGTGGACACAAACTGGAGTTTTATGCTCAGTTGCCATTTTTTTGTATATGGTAAGTAATATCGTAGGAAATATAGGGAGTTGATGATAGATAGCTAGGAACTCTAAGGTGATAAATAGATAGCAAGAATATGGTGACTGAGGATAGTGATGAGCCTTTTATAGTAAAAAAAATTAGTACTTCGTAGGAAAGGTGTGTGTAATTTCTTTAATAATAGTAGTTATGAGTATTTGGGTGCAAGTGTTTGAGAGGAAGTGTTTGAATAATAAGTGGTTGAAAAAAAATTGAATGTTGTGTAGAATTATTGATTTCCGAAGTGACAGGGAATCTGTCAGAAAAATTAAAAGTTGATTGATTTAATTTAAAGTGAGTGGAATCTGTACACTTTTGTACCCGGAATATTTTTTTTAGATCAAAATTATTGATAGTTGGGAGTGGGTTTAGGTGGGTGCAAGTGGTTGGGAGAAGTGGTTGAAATTATTTCGAATAATAAGTGGTTGAAAAAAAATTGAATGTTGTGTAAAATTATTGATTCCCGAAATGACAAGTAATCTGTCAGAAAATTTAAAAGTTGATTGATATAATTTAAAATGAGTGGAATCTGTACACTTTTGTACCCGGAATATTTTTTTTAGATCAAAATTATTGATAGTTGGGAGTGGGTTTAGGTGGGTGCAAGTTGTTGGGAGAAGTGGTTGAAATTATTTTGAATAATAAGTGGTTGAAAAAAATTGAATGTTGTGTAGAATTATTGATTTCCGAAGTGGCAGGGAATCTGTCAGAAAAATTAAAAGTTGATTGATTTAATTTAAAGTGAGTGGAATCTGTACACTTTTGTACCCGGAATATTTTTTTAGATCAAAATTATTGATAGTTGGGAGTGGGTTTAGGTGGGTGCAAGTGGTTGGGAGAAGTGGTTGAAATTATTTCGAACAATAAGTGATTGAAAAAAAATTGAATGTTGTGAAGAATTATTGATTCCCGAAGTGACAGGGAATCTGTCAGAAAAATTAAAAGTTGATTGATTTAATTTAAAGTGAGTGGAATTTGTACACTTTTGTACCCGGAATATTTTTTTAGATCAAAATTATTGATAGTTGGGAGTGGGTTTAGGTGGGTGCAAGTGGTTGGGAGAAGTGGTTGAAATTATTTCGAATAATAAGTGGTTGAAAAAAAATTGAATGTTGTGTAGAATTATTGATTCCCGAAGTGACAGGGAATCTGTCAGAAAAATTAAAAGTTGATTGATTTAATTTAAAGTGAGTGAAATCTGTACACTTTTGTACCCGAAATATTTTTTTTAGATCAAAATTATTGATAGTTGGGAGTGGGTTTAGGTGGGTGCAAGTGGTTGGGAGAAGTGGTTGAAATTATTTCGAATAATAAGTGGTTGAAAAAAAATTGAATGTTGTGTAAAATTATTGATTCCCGAAGTGACAAGTAATCTGTCAGAAAATTTAAAAGTTGATTGATATAATTTAAAGTGAGTGGAATCTGTACACTTTTGTACCCGGAATATTTTTTTTAGATCAAATTTATTGATAGTTGGGAGTGGGTTTAGGTGGGTGCAAGTTGTTGGGAGAAGTGGTTGAAATTATTTTGAATAATAAGTGGTTGAAAAAAATTGAATGTTGTGTAGAATTATTGATTTCCGAAGTGGCAGGGAATCTGTCAGAAAAATTAAAAGTTGATTGATTTAATTTTAAAGTGAGTGGAATCTGTACATTTTTGTACCCGGAATATTTTTTTAGATCAAAATTATTGATAGTTGGGAGTGGGTTTAGGTGGGTGCAAGTGGTTGCGAGAAGTGGTTGAAATTATTTCGAACAATAAGTGATTGAAAAAAAATTGAATGTTGTGTAGAAATATTGATTCCCGAAGTGACAGGGAATCTGTCAGAAAAATTAAAAGTTGATTGATTTAATTTAAAGTGAGTGGAATCTGTACACTTTTGTACCCGGAATATTTTTTTAGATCAAAATTATTGATAGTTGGGAGTGGGTTTAGGTGGGTGCAAGTGGTTGGGAGAAGAGGTTGAAATTATTTCGAACAATAAGTGATTGAAAAAAAATTAAATGTTGTGTAGAATTATTGATTCCCGAAGTGACAGGGAATCTGTCAGAAAAATTAAAAGTTGATTGATTTAATTTAAAGTGAGTGGAATCTGTACACTTTTGTACCCGGAATATGTTTTTAGATCAAAATTATTGATAGTTGGGAGTGGGTTTAGGTGGGTGCAAGTGGTTGGGAGAAGTGGTTGAAATTATTTCGAACAATAAGTGATTAAAAAAAAATTGAATGTTCTGTAGAATTATTGATTTCCGAAGTGACAGGGAATCTGTCAGAAAAATTAAAAGTTGATTGATTTAATTTAAAGTGAGTGGAATCTGTACACTTTTGTACCCGAAATATTTTTTTAGATCAAAATTATTGATAGTTGGAAGTGGGTTTAGGTGGGTGCAAGTGGTTGGGAGAAGTGATTCAAATTATTTCGAACAATAAGTGATTGAAAAAAAATTGAATGTTGTGTAGAATTATTGATTCCCGAAGTGACTGGGAACCTGTCAGAAAAATTAAAAGTTGATTGATTTAATTTAAAGTGATTGATAGTTGGGAGTGGGTACATAATAGTAAAGTTTAAGCTTAGGACTACAAATTACTACAAATTACTACAAATTACAAATTCAATTGATAACTTAATTCAAAATTATCAATTGAATTATTGAATTATTGAAACGTAATAGTAAAAGTACCTGATAATAATAACATAATATCAAATTCGATTGATAATTTAAAAGTACAAATTCAATTCATAATTGATAAAACTAATTACATACAACTATTCTGATTCATCAGATTCATAGTGTCGACCTGGCACCACGAAGTGACTCCCTGTCCCACAGCGTCGAGAATGTATATCCCGTCTCGGCCTATGTTCAATTGGCGGTTGTGTGCTTGGCCCTGCTTCTTGCCCCATCCCACTCTGTACATCTGATCCTAATAAGTTGTTCAACCAATCAATTGGTGAATTTAAAAAGGTGGGACGTGTCTCATATGTAGGCTGTACATGTGGAATAAACGATGGCGCATCAAACGTCGGAATGTATGCACTAGTCGGTGTAGAGTATTGATTAGGTACATGAGATGAGGAAGGGATGTGTGAATGAATATGTGAAGATGGTTGTCCTTCTTCTTCACCACCATCTTCGTCATCCACTTCCTCCTCCTCATCATCATCATTATCATCATCTTGATTATCATCATCACCAACATCATTGTCGACGTGTGGATCAACATAACCGCGTCCGTAACGCCGACCTCTAGTGGCCGCGACTCTTCTACGGTCTTGCCGAAGTGGAGGATGATCATCCACTGCATCATCATGGGCATCCCCATAGAAAATGATGTCTTGATGAAGCACATTCTCGTCACCTAATCCTGTAAGGCATCGTGCAATTTGCTCGCGAATGTCTTCGACGTCAAATGGAGCTGCCATGCGTCGATAGATATCGCCCATACATTGCATCTAAAATTCAAAAGTAAAGTTATTAAATAATAATAAACATTTCTAAGTTGAATAATTACACATAAAATACTTACTAGTGTACTTGTCTCCCTGTTAGTAGTTACATAACCCGTTGTAGGTCGACCATGTAACGGATTGCAAATCCGTCGTTTCCCGACATTTGCGTACCATTCACGGTACGCAGGAGTGTAGGTGGGATGATCAACGAACTCAAATGCGATACGAATATTGTGCCTCACCGCCCATAGTGTCAATGGCCATCCAGAATTTTTTGCACCACTTGCATGGTGGCTAGCTTGTGATTCCGCTGCGGGAGGAATATGTTGCATTGCACCGAATTGACGACAAAATCTACCGGGGTAGTACATCTCAGAAATGTCACAATATATAAGCATGACATTAGATGTCCACAAATCTACTCCCGCGACGCAGAACCTGGGGAGGGCTTGTAATGCGTATGGGCGCCACACGAACTGGATCGATATTGTTAAGTATAACCTCGTTCTCTCGGATCCCGTCCATCTGATCTCGATAAATACGTAGAGTATACCGAGAACTTTGTTCCCAATTGTGCCGACATGCCCACCTTCATAAAAATAAGTTATTATACCATGACCTACAAATATATTTAATATACTAATACTTATTATGTAAAATTTCAAATTATACCTGCACCCATAGGGCATATCCTGTAGATTCTCATATGGCAAAACGTTTCGCGGCCGCACCATGGGCAATCTCTCCCACGCCCAAATCTGCAATAGAAGCAAGCATCCCCCAATATTTCTCTTGTTCGCTTTGGCGGCCTTGCACATGTTGTAATACAGGAACCCCAATACTGCTGAGCCCCAACTCCACCGCCGTGCTTCACCGAGCGGTCCCTGCAACAACTCTAAAAAGTACAATTTTATTTTGTTCCCGGTAGTGGAGGGAAACAATAACCCACCTAGTAGTTGCCAAATGAGCACCCTCGTGTATGTGATGAGTTCCTCATTTGTGCTGTGCTGATGTACCGGCCAACGCTGTAGGGCATTCATTCTTATTACAGATGTGTTTAAGTCGTTGTTGTTTGGCGTGAAACCGGCGAAGTCCGTGCACATTTGCATCCAAAGTGCTTTCGAGTTTGTCCTAGGTCCGGACAGTGGTTCTCCGTCGATGGGCAACCCCAACAACACTTCTACGTCCTGTAAGGTGATGCCCACCTCACCAAAAGGCAAATGAAAAGCGTGTGTCTCTGGTCTCCATCGCTCAACCAACGTCGTAATAAGCGACCAGTCTAACTGCAACCTTCCGATGCAGTCGACGCCGTAAAAGCCGGAGGCCTTCAGCAACGCTACCACTCCTGGGTGACGCGGGCCGTCTTTGTACACCATTGAACAATATACATTACACCTCAACTTGTCATCCATGGATGTAGCATCATTCCAGACAAGGTCTGCTCGATGCGCGTAACGTGGCATCACCTGCACAGACCGACCAACCGGGTCCATAAGTGGTATTTGTGCAGCCATTCGTATCTCAACTGACAATAAGAATCATATATTAGTGTTATATATGTGTGTGTATGTATATTATAATGACGTGTTTTATTAAATGAAATTATAAATTACACATAAACTTTCAATGAAACTATATCAGTCTTATGTATTACATTATAATATATGTACGGTTGATAATGGGCTTATCCACTGAACAATATTACCACCGTGCCAGAAACTAGAAAAGGACTAGTTCTAGACGAGCTTGTGAAAATTGTACCAGTATAGTGCAATTATATTATATATTCCCATACAAATTTTAGACTTGCCACTGAGTAATATTCTCACTGTGCCAGAAACTAGAAAAGGACTAGTTCTAGACATAACGTTTGCCAGAAACTAGAAAAGGACTAGTTCTAGATGAGCTTGTGAAAATCGTACCAGTATAGTGCAATTATATTATATGTACCGATACAAATTTTAGACTTGTCACTGAGTAATATTCTCACTGTGCCAGAAACTAGAAAAGGACTAGTTCTAGACATAACATTTGCCAGAAACTAGAAAAGGACTAGTTCTAGACGAGCTTGTGAAAATCGTACCAGTATAGTGCAATTATATTATATGTACCGATACAAATTTTAGACTTGTCATTGAGTAATATTTTCACTGTGCCAGAAACTAGAAAAGGACTAGTTCTAGACATAACATTTGCCAGAAACTAGAAAAGGGCTAATCTAGACGAGCTTGTGAAAATTTTACCAGTATAGTGTAGTTATAATTTATGTTCGCTTTTATGGCTCAATTATAATAAATGTTACGGAGTATGAACTAAATTATATTACGTAGTATAATGTTATTTGGAAATAAGTAGTGATAACTAAATTAAAATGTTCAACTAACTAAACTAAATTTAAATTGTAATCGCAACATAGTCTCAAATTACCATATACACTAATTTAGTACTCTCTCTGTCCTAGAAAATTCTTCACACTTTAAGTGTGGTTGTAATTGTGTAAGAAAAAGGTCAAATTAATGTGAATCACACAAATTGTCCAAAAATGGTAAGTGGGAAGAATTTTTTGGGACGGTCCAAAAAAAAAGTGAGAAGAATTTTATGGGACAGTGGGAGTATTTAATACATTAGTAACAAATATTAGTGAACCAATAATTAGAGTAATTGAAAAACAGTAAATGTGCTTACATTATCAACATAAATTAACTACTGTAAAGGAAACACTACAAATAATTATAAGTTGTGGGCTAATTATTTCTATTGTTATATATTTAGTATGACATATATCAACAATCTTAATAGCAATTAAGATTAATTACATATTAATATTAAGATTTTTGAAATATTCAGGCTGACATAACACAACCAGTACAAAAAATTAACGGTAAAGAGTAAATATATAATTAAAATTCTAACCTTTCTTTGAAAAACTTGGAGAATAGAATTAGCAAGAACACTCAATAGTTTTTTGTAACTAAATTTATTTTTATGGTAGTAGGCTGAATATGATGTTGAAGTGATTTAAATAGGTGAAGTTTGAGATTGGGAGTATGGATTTCCGTGTAAAACAATGGACAGTTGGGATGAGTTTGTTAAATCCTACGATTGAAAAATGAGCTGAAGAAGCACGATCCGGGTAAACTTGGATTGGCCAATCCGGGAGCTTCATATTTCGGATTAGGGAAATCCGAATTTCTTTGCCTACTGACACACGGCTTTTCACTCCTGACATCCGATTTCTTTTTTTTTTGGTTTTGACCATTTCGGATTCACCAAATCCGTTTTTCACTGAAAATAAAACCCAAAGTCGGATTAGGAGAATCCGAAAAAAGGGATGCTGACAGCTCTGCAAACCCTAAGAAAAGTCGGATTAGCCAACTCCGTTTCCCGTAAATTGGTAACCTAATGCTGACATTCGTATTTTGGGAATGGAGGCATCAAACTCCCGTAATCCATCCTTTCCTCGCACAATTTGAGTACGTAACCCCTTCCTTAAGCCAACTCTCTTAAATGTAGAATTAAATTGTCAGATTATTGCACTAACACACTCCGCCACCCCAACAGACGCTGTTTTTTATTTATTTAATTCATATTTTAAAACAAAAATATAACTTAGTATGAGTTGCACTAGTTTATGGAGAATAAACAAAGTTCGTGTTTTCAGTTTTTTTCATAAATTAAAAGTAATGTTACTAGTTTCTTGATTTGATTAATATAATACCGAGTAATAGAAAAAATTCCATTTAAAATATGTGAGATTCATGAGGGGGAAATAACGAAATCACATATATGTATATATCATTAGTTTCAGCATTTTACATCAATAAAAAAATCATACTTGACACAACCTAACATCTACCAATTATGATTATAAACCCTATGATTCGACATCGAAACGGGTCACCCCTGAAAGAGCAACACGAATCGCTAATCACGAAACGGACTTGACATATAGCTACCACTGGTCCTATAGATATGTAATAGACTTTTAGCAAGAATCCAAACAACAAAGTAACAATAACTAATTAATAGGATAATTTTCTTGAACTCTAGCACCACGTTCAACCCATGATGGTGGTTTAGGAAGAGGTTGGACCATTAGTACCATTGTGCGTGATTGATCCTCCATCGCCAGCCGAACATAGACCTTCGATATAGATGTAGGTCTTGATACTCAGCTAGTAGGAAACTCAATATGTTCGCTATAATCAATATGTGAATCTAACTGTTTTTAAATATAGTGATTCAAACCACTGGTAGCAATGGCACAAAACATGTGCACGGGTAGCTCAACAGTGGATTAGTGGAACAGTTCAATTGAGGTTTCAGGTTCAACTCTCACAGATGGGGTATGTATGGATCCATCCAATGTGGTGATCATACTTTGATTTACTTCTCCATCATTCTATGTAGGCATGAACCCAGTCTGGTGGTCCAGCGCGGTCCGAAATTGGGTCCGTTTTTTGAGTCCCATGCAAAGACCTAATACCTAGTCCCGGGTTCCATTTGATGGGACCAAATCGAGCGGTCCCAGTTTATATCACAAAGGTCGGTTTTCTTTATATTCCTTGGGGGCCTAAGTAGTCATTGGATCTGCTATAAACAGCTATTAAAGCCATTGGAAGGGGTTTGGGGGATTCGGGGATGGGGTATGAATATTTGTCACATTTTAATATTGGTCACATTTAAATATTTGTAACTTTTTAATATTACCAAACATTTTAAAAATGTCAAATCCTAGAAAATCAATTGATGATTTAGTTAGCTAGTCTCCAATGCAATAGTAAAGGCTAAGGAATAAGGACAAGATTTTGAATTCTCATCCTTCTTCGCGGTCCCGGGGTAAATGTCAAGTGGATATAATATAACATTATTGTAATTGTCATAATAATATATTAAGAGAAATGGAACGAAACCATTGAGAACTATACGAAAATATAATTGGGAGAATAATGGCTTACCCTATTAGGTGCCTTGGCCTTCTATTTATAATAAAACAGAGTTATGAAATATTACAAGGTAATACCTAAATATTACATTATTACACCCCCTCAATTTGTGCAGGGGAAATCACATGCAAATTGGAACGTAAAAACACAAATCGCTGACTAGATAATTTTTTGGTGAAGATATGAGCTAATTGTAACTGAGTAGGCATGTGCTTCACCACAAGGTCTCCATGTGCTACACGTTCACGAACACAATGGTAGTCAATTTTAATGTGCTTGCTGCGATCATGCTGAATGGGATTAACTGCCAAGTAAGAAGCTGAGACATTATCATAAAGGAGCTGTACATGGGCCGAAATAAATATGCCCATATCTGCCAGTAGTGATATGATGAAAAGTGTATCATGAACAGTATAAGCAATGGCCCTGTACTTGGCTTCAGTAGAGGATTTGGATACTGTCGGTTGTTTCTTGGAGCGCCACGAAATTAAATTGGAGCCTAGAAACACCGCATAGCCTGTAGTAGAACGAGAGCTATCTGGACATCCTGCCCAATCTGCATCAGAGTAAGCCGTAACCACGGAAACATTTTTATCAGCTCGTAACCATAGGCCATGAGTGCTCGTGCCCTGCAAATACCTGTAAATCCTCTTAACAGCCAAAAGGTGAGTAGTACGTGGAGCATGCAAAAACTGAGACACAAGGTGAACAACATAAGTAATATCAGGTCTAGTAAGGTTTAGATACTGAAGAGCACCTACCATACTCCGATACTTAGTAATATCAGATAAAAGTTCCCCATCTGTGAGAGACAGTGTAGTGCGTGAAGGTAGGGGAGTACGAACAG